ATTATCTATATAGAAGTGGAGTAAAATATAATACATACTAAAAATGGAAGTTCTAGCATATTTGTTGGGTCAGAGAAAGTAAAATGTTTACTAAGACAACAAATCAAACACAAAAAGCCAATGTTGCCTTTACAAGCCAGGAATGAGAGTCCACATGACTTCAGTAAATCTGAAGAGTGAATATAGATTGTAGTTCAACAGAAATAGCTGCAGTCTAGTACATTAAGTAGGGAAATCAAAATATGTATTACAGATTCAGAATAGCCTAAGGCTTTCTAGGAAAAGATACAAGAAAAATAGAATAATATATAATGTTCAAACATTAGTCTTATTCATATATATTACGTACTAAACATAGGTAAAGTATTATGTAAGACACTTTATACACTGTAGTCATTAATTTTTTAAAAGCACCAAATAGTGGAGAGAATATGGAGCAACAGAACTCTCTGTTCATTCCTGGTGGGTATGCACAATGGTATGCTCACTTTGGAAGAAAATGTCTTATAAAACTAGGGATTCTTTTACTGCACAATCCCTCAACTATGCTCCTTGATTTTCATCCAGATGAATTGAAAACCTGTGTCCATACAAAATCTACACATAGATGTTTGTGGTAGCTTTATTCATTAGTGCCAAATCTTGGAAGCAACCAAGATGCTCTTTAATAGGTAAATGAATAAATGGGTACATCCAGACAATGGAACATTATTTAGTGCTAAAAAGAAATGAGCTATCAGGCCACAAAAAGACATGGAGGAACCTTAAGTATTATAAAGTGAAAGAGGCCAACTTGAAAAGGCTACATATGGAATGATTACAACTATAGGACATTCTGGATAATACAGACAATGGAGACAGCAAAGCATAGTGATTTCCAGGAGTGGGTAGATGGGAAAGGATGCATAAGTGGAGCAAAAGTAACTTTAAGAGCAGTGAAACTATTCTACAAGATACTACAGTGGTGGATCCATGTCATTATACATTTGTTAAAGCCTATGTGAGGTACAACATGAGAGTAAACTCTGTAATCTAAACTTTAAGGGATAATGGTGTGTATGAAAGTTTGTCTTTAATAACAGATGTGCCCCTGTGGTGCCAGATGTTGATGGGGTGGTGTTATGTATGTATGTTGGAGGGACAGGAAAGCTATATGGGAACTCTTTATGTTTTCTACTCAACCTTCCTGTGAACCTAAACCTATAGTTAAAAAAAAAAGTTTATTAATTGAAAAGGAAAGTCAGTAGGATTCAACATCTTATTTCTACATTGTAAAATTCATAGGCTCCTCCTGTGAGTTGTAGGGAATTAATGATGGAGAATTAGAAGGTGAAATGGTGAGGGGACCATGCACATTCACTTACTGTCCAGTCAGTATGCATGAAGATAGTTTGTAGTGCTCACGCACTGTTTACTCTTGTTCAGAGCTAGAAACTTTCTCATGTCCTTCCTTGTTAAATGCACCACTTCTGGCTAATTTTATATCTCTTACCATGAGGGAAAAAATAGCAATCCTTGATACTCATAAGACCCATGACTCTTTGAAATCTGTTGTATTAAAACAAAGTAAGTCTTTAGCCTCTGTAGTTCCCTAACATTATATGTGTTGCTTTGTTACTCAGGATACTTTAAGGTTGTTTTTGTGCTTCACTGATGACCAAATGCAGGTGTTACACAGCATGTTCAAGAAGAAGTGAATAATTTTGTATCCGGTTGTGTTGATTTACCATTTGGAATTTTTTACAGTAAAGAGGGAACAGCACATCTTTCATCCACATCATGTGTCCCCAATGTGCTTCTCTTCCACTGTTATCCATATCCCTACTTTCTACACACTGCCACAAATAGGAGGAATAGGCAGGGGCCAGAGTGGAAGATACCTCTTATTGCCATCAAAGGTGGTTGTGTTCAGGATTTATTTTCTATTTTCTTTCACTTTCACATGAGCAGACCATTAAATAAGGAACAAACAAGCACCAGAAATCATTTGTTGCATGCATTTGGTAGATACTCTTATTCCTTTTTGGAAGCAGGGGTTGCTTCGAACATTATCACCTTAGTTGCTTTTCCCTTCTATGAAATTGTGAGACTTAGAAATTGAGTCACACTATTAGACATGAAGAAAAGAGTGAGTACACTGTGACATGACCTTATGAAAGGTTCCTTGTTGCTGATAAAAGAGATAGCAGGTTATGATGGCTTTTACCAATTTGTTCTTCTAAAACTCAACACAAACATGGTTCGGTTTTATTATTGCAATACAGGGTATACTTGAAGTGGAAGAAGTCAGTTTATAAATAAGGTTAATTTTTAAGACATCCAGCTACCTTTTCAGAAAGAGTACTTTAACTCTAGTGGCTTAGAAATTCCACACGTATCCTCTCTACAGAGAAGCTTCTAATTCCTCTGCCTCTTATCAAATAAGATTCAACTATGAGTGATATAGAATCATTTCTTAATTATCCACATTAAAATGAAAGTGAAACAACTACAGGGATAATCCAAAACAGTGAAGAGAAGAAACAAAAGAAAATGCTAATTTTATCTTGAAGTATTTTTTAACAAGTCTGTTTTCCTTGGAGCAGGACTGACCGCATAGTTGTGAGGCCTAGTGTAAATGAAAATGCAAGATACCTTGTTCAAAATTAAGAATTGTCAGGATGGCAATATTAGGTACCTAGATTGGGGATGAGTGGGAGATTTGTTTTCACTGGGATGTGGCCTCCATGTACCTCCATGTACACCTGACCCTAAGCTTCCCTGAACTAGTGCACTGACCCCTGCTAGGGTGGAGGGCAGCAGTGGTTGGAAGAGGAGTGCTTGGTGAGACCTGGGCACTAGGGTGGGAGAGGAACAGCCAGGAATAGCATCAGGAGGCAAAATGTCTTTGAGCTAAGACTACATGTCCCTAAAGTCTATTATTTAATAGCTCCTTTGTTTATTAAGTCATTTAAAAATATAAGTTTATAATAAAGTAATTTAAAAATTCTAAGATGACCACTTTAGGTTTCTGTGTGCCTGGTCACACATTTATGAAGCTGGTCCTGTCTAGTTAGTATCAACTATTCATGTGTAAAGCACCCTACAGTCATGCTGAATATGACTAGGGCAACAAAATTGTCATAATTTGTAATGTGGATAACCTTGACATAGGATATCAAGAATTGATGGTAGATTCCAGTCAATTCATTAACTATTCACTTCTTAGTATTTCAGAAGCCTCTGCTAGAGTGTGGGGTTAGAGGTAACTATCTAAGTCTATTTGGACTGCTATAACAAAATACTACAAGGTAGGTAGCATGTAACAACAGAGATTTATTTCTTCTAGTTCTGTGGGCTGAGAGGTCCAAGATATCAGCAGATTCAGGTCTGAGGACCCTCTTTGTGTTATGGCCATCTTCTCACTGTAACCCACATAGTAGAAAGGGAAAATTCTGATCTCTTTGGCCACTTGTGGGGGCACTAATCCCCTTCATGAAGGCCCTTTCTTCATGACCTAATCACCTCGCAGAATTCCTGCCTCCTGAACCGTCACTTTGAGATGAGATTTCAGTATGTGAATTTGGGGTGGGTGGTGGGCTGGGGGACACAAATATTCAGACCCTAGCAATGGTCAAGACAGGCTCACTATCTACTGGAGTTGAAAGATACAGACACTGGGACTGTAAAGCAAGGCAGACGATATGTGCTATAAAAGGTACAGACAAGAACAGTTGGAAAATTGGGAGTAAAAAGATTAACAGGGCATGTGAGGAGAGATTGTGGAAAAAGGGATTACTTTTTAGTTCGGCCATGATGGATGGGTAGTATATCAATTGCCAGTGCTTAAGGGGCAAAAGGACAGCATAAGCAAAGACAGTGAAGTACAGACCATGCTAACAGGGGCCTACCACTGTCACATTCAGACATGTTTTTCATTTATGCAATTTCCAGACACTGAGCTGGAAGCAGTAGATATAAGACTATGGGATTTGGAATCAGATAAAACCATGTTTGAATCACAATCTACCATATCCCGGTAGATGGGAAATGCCTTACTTAACCACTCTGAGCCTCAGATTTAGTCACCTGTGAAATAAAGATACCAGTTTTGTAGAATTATTGATAGATTAGGTGAGATAATGTTTTGTAAGATGTTTCCAGAATTCTGTCTAGTAAAGAAGACAAGCAAGCAAATAAATTATTGTGATTATAGATGCCTGAGGATGCTGTACCAGGCTTCACAAAGATATGATATTTGCCAAACACAGTGGCGCAGGCTTGTAATCCCAGCAGTTTGGGAGGCTGAGGCAGGAGGATCACGAGTTTAAAGCCAGCCTCAGCAATTTAGTGAGCCCCTAAGCATCTTAACAAGATTCTGTCTCAAAAAAAAAAAAAAAAAAAAGGCTGGGGATGTGGCTTAGTAGTAAAATGCTCCAGGGTTCAATCTCTGGTATCAAAAAAAAAAAAAATTATGGTATTTGAAGTGGGGTCTAACATGTGTAAGGTATGTATTGGGAAGGCAGAGGGAAATTGAGAAAGACCCTCTGAGATTTGAAAGAGATGAACCCCTTCATAATCTGTGGGATTGGGTATGGGGGAGTAATAAGGAAGATGAGGATGACATATATATATATATATATATATATATATATATATATATATATGAAATCTTTAATGTTTCATTTCTACCCCAAACTACTTTACTAATGAAAAAAATGTCCCTCCTGGGAAAGGGCAGAAAACCTAGCTGAGCTTTCAAGTAAGATATAAAGTTTCTGCAGCAGATGTTCTGTATGTTTTTCTTTGTAAAACAAGTCTGGAGCCGGGAGGGGAGGCGGGAGAGAGAATGAGTGTGTAGTTGCTTTTTCCATCCTCCTGTGGAACATCATTTTGCTTAATTGGTAGACACTTAAAACACGATTGGCTCTTTTAAAAATAGGAGTCTTCCTGGTATTGGTTGAAATGTGTCACCATGTGTTGGTGCTTTAAAATGCCTGTCTTTTTATTTCTTCTTCCAGACTGAACACTTGCCTTTGCAGACTCAGAAAAAAGAAAGAGAAATTTGCAGTCTCCCACACTCTGTAAGTAGCATGGCCATGTTGTCAGGATCTGCCCAGCTAGAGCTGGTTACTCACATGTGTATTAAAATATCATTGGATGTCCACAAAAGTCCGTTTTTTTCATCTCTTCTCTATTAGAGTGCCTGTGCTATGATTTGGTAAAGACCTTGAGCTTCCTTACTCTTAGAAGTAATCTAAGAACTACTTCTAAGTAATTTCAGAAGTAATCAGATGTTATGAAACCAGTCACCAGGCAGAGGAGTCTGTACCAGATACACCACAGAGCATCATGTGGAATTAATTTTACTGTACAAGTCAACTGTGGCTCAAGGTCAAGCCTGAAAGAAAGGCCAAGACAAAAGGATATTTTGGGCAGCCTTTTTTATTCTCAGTGTTGTCAGGCATAAGGTCAAATGCCAGTTCATTTTGCTGTGTCCTTTCCCTAATTCCTCAGTGCTGAATTTTGAGGTTTCTTTTTGTTTTAATTCTGCTTATATATCATGTGTCAATTCTAAGCTTGAGCCTTGCTTGAGAGACTCCTGAAGTTCATAACCTTGCTCTTCTCCAGTTTATCTTACCTGATACCAACTCTTAATTTCAAAACCTAAAACCAATCACAGGCCCCTTCAGTTGCAATTTTGTATTTAAGAGCCTGCCACCATTCTTATTCAGGTATTGTAAGCAACAGATGATTGGAAAATGATAAGTTGTTGAACTTTACCTTGCCATTCAATTCCTCATCGGGTTATGAATCAGGGACACAGATTTTAATGAATTCTATTTTTGTCTATTTTTCCCCCCAAAGTGATAGAAAAATGCAAACAAACTTCTCTGCTAATGTAAACAATGTTTCAATTTTTAGAATGGACTAAATAGCAAGAGTTTTGATGATGAGAACCCAGCAGGAGAAGATGGGATTCAGCAAATGTATCCCCTTTACAATCAGATGTGCTATCAAGACCGGAGCCCTAGCAAACATCATCAAAACAACGACCCCAAGAGAGTCTACATCAACCCACGAGAACATTATGTGTGATTTTCCTCTTTTACCAATGGTTGTTCTAACAAATGTTTATTATTAGATTGGGGAGAGAAACTGAGGCCAATTGTTATTTTATTCTCTCTAGTATAACCCATCCCAATCTAACTCTATTGGAAGTCTTGATGAATGACTTGGAGCTAATAGCAGATTTCTTTCCTTCATTAAGGGTTTCTTAACCACCAGCTGTGTTTGTGAACTTGACTGTCGCTTTGTGTGGTTCAGTAATGATGGTGTTTAACTACTAACATTTGGCCTACAATGGCATGTTCATTTGGAAGTGCAGCATCTGCCTGTGATGACTGTAGTCATTCTCCAGAAAGAAAGGCCCCAGCTGGTAGTATTAAACTCGCCGGGTCTCAGGCAGGCCAGCCTGTTCATCTCTAATTCAAAGGGATGGAAAAATGAGTTCAGAATCCATTTCACTGATTGTTTAGCTGGGATTTAGATTTCCCTGACATGCTTAATGAAATTACAATACCTGTGTAAAAGGCCTGAGGAAAGAGGCAAGATTTGCTCTTTATCCAGAAACAACAATAACAAAAGGCAATTAAACCTTCAATCCTGTCAGTTGCTTTTAAATAGCCTTGTCATGGTGATATATGTCCCTTCTCTGTCAGTAAGGTCTTGCAGATCCACAGTTCTTGCTATTACCTGCCTACTTGAGACTAGCTGTATGTAACAAAAGTTTGCCTATTGCTCTGTCGAGTTCCCACAGTCCTGTACTTTTTACCAGATTAGCCCATTTTCCACCAATTAATTTCTAAAATCCCTGCCTAAATGGTATACAGCCTTTCTCCTTGTCCCCACTTTTCTCTAGGATTATACTCAGCTTTCACTTCTGGAATTTCTTTCCAACTAATATCAGTCCACATGGGCTTTAGCTCTCCTGCATACTTCATACTGCTTACCTTCCATGTTTTATCTACCTCAGAAAAGCCTACTGGAAAATCACCTGAAAGAACTCCTGCTCTTAAAAGTCAGGTGAAAAATTCAAAAATTAATTTTTTAAAAAATAAAACCACTTTAATATAGCATATGTACTAAACCCACATGTCCTATATTCTTCCTCCCATACTTTACCTCATTGAGAAGGGTAAAAAAATGCTAAAAAAACAAAACAATATAGTGACTTATCTACCAGGGCATCATTTAAACTTTGATGTCTTGAAATGTCTTCTGGGAGTTTCCTCCTCTCCCTTTGCCAACTTTCCATCGTGGGGATTAACAGTAGTAATTACAGTGGGTGAGCACAGACAGAAGGATCACAGGTACATGTGCAAATGCCCATCACTGACTTCTCACATCTGAAGGAAAATATAGATTTACTGTGTATCCTGGAAGATTAGAGGTGTGTCACAGGTATAAAAAACACTATGTAAGCTTGTTATATCTTAGGGAAGAGTATCAGAAGCACTGAAATAAAATAGTGCACATTCCCAACCTAACATAGCAAAGGGAAAGGAGAACATTAACCTAGATTTCTAATGAGATACCAAAGAAACTTTATGATTCATGTTGTACTGGCTTTAGTTTGTGTTTGAGTGTGTTTTCCTCTTTCAGTTCCATGCGTTGTCAGACAAATGATCTTCATTGTTCTACAGTAGTAATACATTCTCCCTCCATTACCTAGGGACCAATAATTCTGGGGAATAGGAAGCTTAAATTCCAACTCAAATCTTTGGCAATTTTAAAGGCAATAGATGTAGAGCATCAAAGGGTAAAACTCCAATGACTCTTATTGCAGAATCACTGTGCTACCTCTGAGTTAGAGTTTACTGCCTCTGTCACAAAGAAGATAATCAACTTTATTGCTTGGAATGCCATCACTGAGTGAGTGTAGCTGAAGGTATAGGAATCCTTGCATTGTTTTTCAAAAATAAGATGACTGTTCAGAGCTCTCTGTGACAGCAAAGTGTTTTATAAATACTGGGGGTTGTGGTGGTGCATTACCTCCTTTACAAAGCTTTAAAAATGCCTTAAGTACTGGGAATGGTTTCTAGGGACTTACTGGGGAAACGATTGTTGAATTAACTTCAAAAAAGCACACTGTGAACCCAAAGTACAGATGTCTTCGTTTGTACCACAGAAAGGGATTCAGAAGCACTGGGCTTCAGGAGTCCTTTGTCCTTTCTTCAGCACCTTCCCAAGAGGGACCACTGTCTGTCTTTCACATTCTTCATGTAGTTATGGAAAAGAAATTTCAGGATGTAGACATCTCTCTTGAAGCCAACTAGCTGAGTATCCTCTTTGCCTTCAGTCAGCTCTGATATTTCTTGAACAAACTGGTAGATTTTATAGCCATTGACCCTTTGCATGGGTCATATAAGAGGTTATTCTGGTGCCTATCATATTCTCTCTCTGAAAACAACTAAATTGAGAAAAGTTTTAAAGGGTTTGATCAACTAGACCTCTGAACTAAAATAATGCTATTCAAAATTAGGCTGTTGATCTCCAAATTTAGAGCCTAGACTGCCTGATGATGCCTTTAAAATTGGAAGTTAGACTTTAAATGTCCATGAGTGAGGTTTAGGGATATAATATACAGCTGATATTAGATACCATGACTGGTTTACTAAAATACACTGTGCTAGAAATAAATCTTCATAGCACTTGGAAAGGTATACACTCACCTTAAACACAGCCTTTATTGCCTATTTTATATGTAGCCCATCCCTGGGAGTTTGCATTGTTACTGCAAGAGCAAAACACTGGGTTCTTTGCACACCACACTAATAGGAAGAAGCATCTGCATCACTAGGATCAGCCTAACATGACAGGACAAGAATTAAATGGCAGAGACTTATTATCTCTTCTATAATAGTTTTCCCTATTCCTAGGATTTTTATGTGTTCTACATTTGAAGAAGTCCGTGCTTTTGGGGGCACATAATAATATGCAATTCTTACCTGTGCTGGGCTTTGCTGCAACATGCACATAGTAGAGTGTAAAGTGGTATACAGCAAACTAAATGAGCTGGCTCTCTTATTGTTTTCTGTGATCTTGTTTACAAGACACAGGACAGTTTCTTCATCCTTCTGAGAAAATTCCTAAGTCCTCTTTCATGGTAGTTTAAAATGCATTTTTTTCCCATCATTGTTCAGTCTCTTCCTGCCCTGATTTCCTGGTGCTATTCATTATATACAGTTAAGACTGCCTTCAAATATCTTATTCCCTAGAATGTAGAGGTTGAAAAGAACAGGTTCTACTCCCAGCTTTACCCTTTACTATGGAAAATTGGGAAAGTCACTTAACCTGTCTTGGGCATCAGTTGTCTCTTCCATAAAGCAGATTATAATATCTTCCTGAGAATTAAACAAGGAGATCATGGACAGGAAATTATAAGGTTCCAAACCAACAAATGCCTTTCACTCTATTGTATATTGAACTTCAATGTCTGGCACACTTACCAGCATTTAGAGAACTCTAATGTCCCCAGAAAGAACCAAGTAGCAACATGAAATTTTAATTTGACCTAATTCAAGTATAGCTAACTGCAAGTAGCTGACATTACTTTGACTATAATAAGTATTTCCCTTATGGAAAGTCTCACTTCTGAATTGTAGATTTTAAGCTTTAGCTAGAATGGAAAAATGCATGTTGCTATAACTAGTGGTGGTTCTTGTTTTACCAGTTACTGCTAACAGCTAACATTATTGAGTGCATAGTATGAACTAGGTCCCAGAACAAGCACCTTACATGAATTACCTCATTGGATAGGACCAGACTCTTGTTTTGTCCTCTTTCCAAGAGCCCTCAGGGGGACAGGCAGGCTCACATTCCACACCAGGCCACCACCATAGGTCATGCTTATCATCAGTCAGCTATTACTTTTTTTCCAATCTGCTTTTGGTGTTAGGAAATATAGTTGGCTTGATTTTTTTCCCCATTTTTAAGCAGAGGTATAGGAAGGATCATGAAAGAAAACTATAAGAAATATTAAGGTGAAAACAAGTGGATATGCTCATTTTTTATTTAGGTTTGATGTTCTCTAAATATTCAGAAAGGCTCTCATATCCACAGCTACAAAATAACAACCAAAACTCAAACCCATTCCATCCTACTTGATTGGGTGTTGGTGGGCACAAACTTCTCTGACATCCTTCCTCAAGGTAGTTCTTTGATATACTTATTGCTCTGTTTCTTTTTCTCACTTTCATTGAACTCCCAGAGGTGGTAACACTGGTATTGTGTACAGATAAAAAAGAGGTGCCTTTGGTAGAAAACTAGGAGAAGAATAGAAAGGGTGTGAAGTAGAAATGTCAGGGACTCACCTGTGGCTCAGCTCTGTGCTTGTCTCCTTCTGGCTTTTGACTGGCAAGGCATTCATCCATCATGCTTCAGCAGACCTTATAGAACCACGGACTTTCATTCCTACTAACTAAAAAATAATACTTGCAAGCTTATTAAACTATAGGTTATAATTGGATTAATCTTGTTACCTTTGTTGAAATGCATGGGTTTCTCTCATCAAACCAAGTGATAAGCTGGCCTCTGCCAATTTGGGCATTTACAACTATTGGGTGTTTTAGTACCCTCTAATAACTGATGGTGGGAGGGCTTTACCTCTCCTCCAGCCTCACCAGGTGATTTTTTTACACTGAACTCAGGTCTTAGCTAAGCACTGTGTCATGTGTGTTTGTAAGCAAGTAGTCACCAGAACAGCCATCCAACCTGTCCTGTAAGCTTGAAAAGAGTCTATCTCTGTCCTTTAAGGTATTCTAATGACATCCTACCTAAAAGAGTTATTAGAAGTAAATCCAACTATCCTAGCAGTTTCAGCCAGGCAGCCAGTAGACCATTTGACTTTTGCACAGGATGAGTTAGGAATCCTAGGTCAGGCTTGTTCATGGAGAGCTGGAGTGCCCTATACTACTTAGGCCATTCCACATAGCTTTAATGCCACTAATTTGACTTTTGAAAATACTCACTTATTAACAAGGTCTCTGGTATTAAACTACAGACAATTAATCTCTGAAGTGAACAGTTTTTCAAATGCTAAAGCCCCTGGAGTGTGTAGTCCTGATGGGGATACTTCGAACGTTAACCAACCAACTACCCCCAAAGTATACATAAAGACTGATTAACATTCCCAATTTCAAGACATTGTATTAAATGTAACATGATTTTATAAGGATTTCTCAGGTTTACATACCTCTAAAGTCAACTACTTGCTGAAGAAAATTTATTGGCATTTATTCTTAGTGACAGCTTGCCCCTTCTCCCCACAGGGGTGTGTGTGTGTGGGTGTGTGTGTGTGTGTGTGGGTGTGAGAGAGAGAGAGAGAGAGAGAGAGAGAGAGAGAAAGGGGGAGGGGTATATTTAAATTTCCACTGCCCACCTAAATTTGTAAAATAACATGTTTATTACTACTGTATGACCATTTCTGTATTAATTATTCTCCTCTACTCAAGTTTCAACTCAATTTTAGAAGTTTGAAACTGAGTAGACTAGAATAAGAGAATGTAAAATAATTCAAAGAAACTATTCATCTTTTTTGTCATAAATTATCAATTGGAACCATGATATAGAAGTTCCCTCTGAATCTCAGAAAGAAGAAAAACTACTATTGACAAATAAAACATTCTCCATTCTGTTGGTTATGAATAAATCTATTCCATTGTTCCCAATCAGTGTTTGGGACCTAAGGCTATTATCTATATCAAGTGACTAGGTATGTTCTTATCTTCCTGCTGTAAATTTAGTGTTAAATGCTTGAGTTTCAGATAACCAGGTTTTCTGAATATCAGTGTCTTGTAAACTTATGGAAAAGAACAACATCTCCATGAATTAATACTGGGCCAGGCCCCGTCTTCTGGTGTTTCTGTTCTACAGCTATGTTGTTTACAGCTGCCAGAAGCACAGGAGTTACACAGGAGGCAGATCAAGTGGAGATACCTTTTTGTACTTAAAGTTATTATTAGATCATAGTTGACACCCCATATACTCTTTGATAAACCAAAAGCAGCCTTATAGTCAATCTTTTGCTTCTTCTAAAGATGGATGAACAAACAGTTGCCCTCTTATGGTTTTTCCCAGCACTACCATTTGAAGTTTCTTTGACCAGTCCCCCATAGCCCAGCAGTATCCTTGGTATCATGACCTACACTGCTTGTATTTATTTCCATGGCATGGGATTTAACTGTGAAAGTTGATTAGAGGAGACCTTGAGGGAAAGCCTCCCTGGGAATCCAAAACATCAGATTTGCTACACTGACTTAGAACTGTGGCCTACCCTACTCCATATGTATCTGACAGCCATGAAGAGGTGTTTTATGTGTCTCCTCCAAAGGTTAATTTCCTTTCATAACTCACAGTGGAGCTATGGAAGCCCAGAAGTGCACATGGTTTTCCAAGTGAATGGGCACTGTTGTTTTGGTTTTCAATATCTTCCCAATAATGACCAGGTTTTTTTTTTTAATTCACCCTAGCATATTGATCAGGCTAAATTAAATTCCTCAAGTCTTATTGGTGGATCACTGTTCTTTATATTTTAAATTAGAGGCAGCAGCAGTTTGTCTTAAATGTATTTGTTAGAACTTGCCCACACTGTTTCATGTATGCCTCTGCTTTTTTCACATAGCCTTATGAGAATTTATTGCATATGTTTCCTTTAACTGATCATTTCAATACTCAGATGAGTATTTGTCATCTTAGATTTCATTATATACTTGAAATTCAAAATCCTTCATAAAAAATTTTTTTAAAAAGTTAAGTAGCTGGTATTGCTACTGGATCCCTGAATTATCCCACTTGTCTATCCATAAAAGTTTCTGTTTATCCTCCACCTTCTGTTTCTATTTCTAAGCCAATGCTTTAAGACACAACATCTGCTCCAGCATATCCACTCTTCATGGGTCTTAACCTCTTAACTTCTTTACTTCTCAGTTTTATCCTGTAAGTTAGTGCTCTCTGACTCATAGGGGTTTATGCCATGGGGGAAGATAAGATATATAAGGGTTATCTTCAAGAGAGATCCTTCTCTGAAAGTGCTTTTATAAAAGCCCCTTGGCTTAGAAAAGAGAAACTACAGTTCCTCAGATATTTTTTTTTCCTATTCTTGTTTTGCTGTTTTTATTTCTGAAAAATGATCTCTGACTGAAAGGAGTCTTTATTTTCATTTTAACTTTCTCCCCACTAACCTTTTGCCTGTTGAAACCTCTGCCTTATCCATGCTCTGAACTTTTTTACTTATGGAGCCAAAATGAATTCCCCCACAACGAATTCCAGGAATTTTATTCCTGCCATTGAGTAAATTAATGTCCTTGACGCAAAGGAGCATCTAGCTTGCTGTTCCCACAAGGAGCCAGAAGCAAATGAGGTCTTGCTCTGGCACTGGCAAAGTCTCCCCTGTGCCTTAGTTTTCCTTGTGTAAGCAGAAGTTAATTCAGCTATTTCACTGCAGCTAGGTATTGTGAGTCCTGAGTCCTGACTAACAAATGGGGCGAAGGCTTTTTGCAAATGTCCTGTACTATATAAATTCATAGTGGATGATATGGAGTGTCCTCAAGTAGACATAAGTATTTGTATCGCTCAAATCAGAACACTAATCCACCCACTGTTTTCAAAAGCAATGTTTTACTAACTTCTTTTTCATAGTGAAAATTAGTTTCTAGTTACTTGAACTTTTTATTTTGGTGTCTAGAAAGTGATCAATAGTATGTATTCTTTCTTGTCCTAAGTTATATTTTTCAGTTTTAGAACTGAAACAGTTACTTAACAGTATACATAGGTAAAGAGGGAGATAGATTCCAGCTCAGATGTTGTAAAATAGAGAAAGTCAAAGATTAGCCTTGAATTTGAGATTGTATTTTAAATAGATGTTAATGTGAAGTTTTTTTAGATATTCTTTATTTTTAAGTTACCAGAAATTGTCTTTTATTTTTGGAGTTTTGAATATATCATTCTTTACATGTTTTGAATAAAGTGTTTTATCCATTCAGTTTTTTTTTATTTTACATTATCAATAAATCAATCATTAAAACACATAAGCTAATTATATAACTATTAAACTCAAGACTTAAATAACATCTTCTATGTTAACTATTTCTATACTTGAGTCTTTTTTTAAAATAATGACAAGTGCTTTTATGCTTCAAGCAATATAAAAATGCTTTTTAAAACAAGGTAAGTTATATATTGTAGTTTATTTATGAAAATTCATAATATTGTTTTAGTGAAGCTACATTCATTCCAGTTAAAAATTATTCTTCATTGCTGATTAAATCTTAGGCATTAAAATTTCCTTTCTTTTATAAACTTTATATTGATAGTAGATGGTCAATACATGTTCTTTTTTACCCAAAACAAACAAGTTAGGTATCTGTGGTATATTCCTAAATTTGGGTGATGCTTTACTGGTATGTGCAATCCCAAGTCTAGGAACCACTTTTTAAAAAATATTATTTTATTGAGATATTATAAAATTCACTTTTTAAAAATGTTAAATTCAGTGTTCTGGTGCATGCATTACCACAATAAATTCTAAAATAGTTTTATCACCCTCAAGAGAAACCCATGCACATTCAGACAGTTACTCCTTAATACATCCTTCCCTCAAATCCCTGGCAGCCAACGTTACTTTCTGTCTCTGTAAAACTTGCCTGTTCTGGACATGTCATATAAAAGAAAACGTACAATTTGTTATCTTTAGTGACAGGCTTCTTTCACTTGGCATAGTATTTCTAAAGTTCTTCCATGTTTCAACACATATTATTTCTTCATATGGTCAAATAATATTCCATTGTATGGATATACCACATTTTATCTGTTCATCAGCTGGTGGACATTTGAGTTTATTTGCACTTTGGAGAGATTATGATTATGAATAATATTGTTATGAACATTTGTGCCAAGTTTTTTGTTCAAACGTAAGTTTTATTTTCCTTGCATATACATCAGGGAATGGGCTTGCTATAGCCTATGGCAACTCTATGGTTTAACATTTTAAGGAACTGTACTGTACCAATTTTTGTGTATCCTCACTAACACTTATTATTTTCTCTTTTTTTACTGTAGCTCTCCTGCTATGAAGCAGTATCTCATTGTGTTTGTTATTTTAATTTTTCTGGTGGCTAATGATGTTTGCTTGTTTTCTACAACCCTTTAAGAAGGTAAAATCATTCTTAGTTCATAGGCCATGAAAAAACAGGCAGACAACAATATTCCACCACAGGTAACCAACCTCTGAATTAGAATATAGAATTAGACAGTTACTTTAATACAGGTATCATAAATTTACTCCATATTGAAGAACATAGGGAAAATCATGAGTCTATAAATGATGTAGAAGAGTAATAAAAATAAATGAAATAGAGCGCTGATAAACTAGCTTGCTGGATTGAAAAAAAAAAAAACATATTAATCTTTTTTATCATTTGCTGATGGCCATGGTGTACATGCTCCTGCAATGGCCCATTTTAAACTACTAAGATAACACTGCTGAACCTGAGGTTGAGAAGGGGGATATACATCAACAGCATTGGCCAGCTGGTGCCAGCTCATACTAGTGCATCCTAACATAAAACACCTCTCACTGTGTTTTATATTGGTTGGCATAGCAGTCAGTAATTATAGCTAATGTCTTGAAAGACCATGGTTGGACTTTTATAAGCATGCAGGGGCAGAGTGAACATTTGCCCCTCACATTGTTTTTTCTTTTCTTAGTCTTCATTATTCTGGAATCATAGCCACGTGTCCACAAAGTGAAATAAGAAACATGCACACTCCCAATTCCAATTTTTTTTTCTAAAAAAAAAAATGTTGGAATAAAATCAAAACAAAGGGAACAAGGTTTCTGACCTGTCCAGAAAACTTCCTGGAAAATGTGTTTTAGTTGGGCATGAAAAATATGGGATATGGCCATGCATCCAAAGGAATGAATACATTCTATACAGGTAGATGGTTTGTGCAAGAGTTTGAAAGTAAGAGTCAAAATAATTGGGGAAAGATTTGTCTCCATGGTTAGATATGCAATATGTGATCAGATATTTTGCTTGTGAGTTTCTTCTCTCCAGGGGCTCCAAAAATAAATAATAAGCCTCAACTTTAGATTTCTGTTTCTGCTAAAACAGCACACTGCAAGGGAAAAAAATCTTCTACAAGAATACTCTAGAGAAATTAGAAGGTGAATCATCCAGCAAATAAGCAGTTCATATCTGCTTTAAATATCCTTTTGAAATTCTGATCTAATACATTTCCAAGTTGGTATTAGTGTAGGTACTATATTTTAAAAGAATCCAACTGTTTTAGTTAGCTTTCTTATTTCTATGACCAATCTTGTCATAGAAGTAAAGAACAATTAGAGGAATAAAAGTTTATTTGGGGGCTCATGGTTTCAGAGGTCTCAGTCCATAAATGGCCAACTCCATTTCTTGGTGCTCAAGGTGAGGCAGAACATCATGTGGAAGGGTGTTGTGGAGAAAAGCAGCTTGGACATGATCACCAAGAAGCAGAGAGAAAGAGAGCTCTGCTCAAGAAGGACAAAGTATACACCCCAACAACACACCTCCAGGTACTCACCTCCTCCAGCAACACTCCACCCACCTACAGTTATCACTCAGTTAATCCCTATGGGGGATTAATTCACTAATTGGATTAAGGGTCTCATAACACAATTATTCCACCTCTAAACCTCCTTTCACTGTTTCATACATGAGGTTTTGAGGAACACCACATATCTAAATCATAACACCAACCTTCATGTCCACAGTCTCCCAGGGTTCCCCTTACCTTTTCTAAACACCAGTAGGAATACTGGTAAGGCCCAAAGTTAAGTGAGGGATTGATGTGTTTGACCTATGTGTTAACTCAAAGCAAAGCAAAGAAAGCAGTAGCTTTGCTGAGTAGAAGTGGCCACTAGGTTTCATTGTTCAACATAGCAGGGGTGGTCCTATTAATTGCATGGAGACATTCACATGGAGTTCAAAATGATTGATTTTCCAAATTTAAGATTTTATGCAAAGGGACTTGAACAATCTGTAACTCCTCTGTGGACTTTCCTGTTCTTTTTTTAGCTATAGACAAAGTAAAGCATTTTCTAAAATGCAAAGGACATTCTAGCACAGATGACCCAGTGCTATAATTCAGCCAGACTTCCTGGATTTCTTAGAATCATCCTGCTTTCCAGAGTCAACCTTGTTAACTCCATGGGAACACCTGTGCATGTTAGAAAGGGTTTGACTATGGTTATACCCTGATCCAGTGCATCACTTACTACTTAAGAAGTAGTGTAATGTGAATATGGGGCCAGAGGAATGTGGCCTCCGTGTGCTTTCATTTTATCCTGAAGTTGAGACTATAGAAATGTCTGCCACTGTCCCATTCTCCATTCTGAATACAAAGAATCCCACTCTCCACAGCTGCTTGTTTCCAAGAAGGCAGTGTGAGATTGTAAAGACAGCAAGACAGGGCTGATTTGCTGGGTACAAAATAGATTGCTAAATAGTCTTTACAGGATACAATCATCAACAGAGGGCAACAGCTGGATTGTTGCTCACCAGATTGGGTTCTCTGAGAGCAAAGAGTGAAAAGGAGTCCTGGTAAAAGGGTATGTATTAGGAATCCATGTCTGAGGAAAGGATGGGGAGGAAGCAGGATTGGGCAGAGGGATAATCAAACAATGATGTGGGCCCAACAAACTTCAGCCAGGCCCATGGGAGAGTGTTACAAAATATATGGCTTATCAGAGTTAGGTTAAATAGTCCAGTCCTCCTAACTCTGCCTCATTCAGTCACTGAACATGGGCCACACAGTCTGAATTTCTGAACAGTATATGTGAAATGTCTAGTGAATCTCATGAACATAGACATATATTCACCTTCTTTGCTGTAAAATGGCTCCCCAAATCTTATCTGATGTTATGGCGTACCAGTAAGTCAAACATTCCTAAGTCCTCCACAAGTGATTTTGGCTAAAACCTCACAGGATTGAAAGCCAAACTAACATGTAGATGTGTCTATTCCTTTCAAAAGAAGTCTCTATTCCAAATGGAAGGAGCAAAATGTAATTTACTTGTCACGGACTCATCAATAGACCTGTCAAGGAGCAGTGCCATATTGAAGACTCAGCATTGATCTCCAATGCTGGCAGGTTGAGTATTGGATGAAAGTAGTTCAGAGGTAGTCCTGAAAGTGGGAATGCACGCCCTTGGGTCCAGTCAGCATCCATCTCGCCTTCCAAGAGCCTTTCCACCCACTTGCCTATTATGTCAATGCTAGGGTGGCTGGTGAGTAGGGTTGCCCTATGCTAACCTGCTGAGTTACTCATTGACTTGATTGTATTGTGTCTCTTCTATTGGGCAAGTTCTTTCTGGTGGTTGTTAGTTGTGACATAAATACCCTTGCCCTTTCTGTTCATTAACATATGTCTGTTCCTGTGCTTCTAGCTCAGATTCCCTTGTCCCAAGTCTTCCTATTTTTGTCCTTCCATATTTCTGGACAAGAAACCTCCTGGTTAACCATTCCCAAGAGAGAGAGAGAGAGAGAGTGTGTACCCACACTAACCACAGCCACTCTTTATACAGTATTTAACCATGTGCACCTCTTGAGGCTCTGCCCATTGGGAAGATTTTTCCTTTTCAACATGTTTCATGACCATTCCTAAGTGGGTCTGCAATGTAGTTGCCATCCATTTTTGTTTTGCATTCACCTGTCTTAATCCAGTTTGCACTGTTTTAACAATATGTGAGGGTGAGTAATTCATTTAAAACTGTTCTAAGACTGGAAACCAAGAAGAAGGGGGGAAAGCATCTGGCAAAAGACTTCTTGCTGTTCATCCCATGGAAGAAGGCAGAAGGGCAAAGAAAGAAATGAAGAACCAAACTTTTATGATAAAACCAATCCCACCAATGATTCTATTACAATAGCAGTTAAATTTCAACATGAGTTTTGAAGAGGACAAACATCCAAACCATACCTCCCTAAACCAAGTTCCTCAGA